TAAAAATGTAATGTAATTTTATCAAAATCTCAATGTTTTTTTTTTTGTTTTTGTTTTTGTTTTTGTTTTTGCAGAATTTTTGTGTGTAATTCTAAAAGTTGTTTAGGAACTGTGACTAGCCAAACACCTGTTAAAAAGAACAAAGAGGCATTACACTTTCTGATTTAAAATCATGATACAATGCTACAAAGATAAAAACAATATGCTACTGCCACGAAAACAGACACATAGATGATGAAACAGAATTACAGACATCCCAGAAATAAACCCTTACATATATGATAAAATAATCTTCCATAAGCTTTTCATGACCACGCAATAGAAAAACAAGAATCACTTTAACAAAGAATTTTCAAAATTGAATATTTACAGAGAAAAAAATAAAGTTGGATGCTTCCTTTGTACCATATATAAAAAGAATTTTTTTTTTCATGGATTGAATACTTAAACGTAAAAAATAATAAAATTCTTAGAAATAAACATAGGGGAAAAGTTTATGGCATAAGTCTTAAAACTCTTTGCCTAAGTATGACATCAAATGCACAAACAACATGGAAAAGAACAAAAAAAAAAGGAGACTACATTAATCTTCAAGTATTCTACACATCAAACATTTAGTGGCATACAAATGTCACCTAATAAGTGGGTGAAAGCTGGGCATGATGGCTCAGGCCTATAATTCTAGAACTTTAGGAGGCAAAGGCAGAACAATCACTTAAGCCCCCAAATTTAAGACTAGCCATGAAGACATAGCAAGACCCTATTTTGTACAGGGTTATATATGTGCATACATACATACATATAACAAAAAAGAGTAAAAATATTTTCAAATCTCATATTTCATAGGTGTTAATTTTCAAAATATATAAACTCCTAAAACTCAACAGCAACAAAAAGTTAATAACTTAATTTAGAATGGCAAATGTTTGAAATGACATTTCTCCAAAGACATACAAATGGCTAGCATTTAAAAGGATACTCGACATTATTCTTCTAGAAAAATGCAAAGTCACAATAACCTGTCACCTCAAACCTATTTTTAAAATGGTATGAAAGCTCTTCAAAACATTTAAAATGAGATTATTATGTAATCTAGCAACTCCCTTCTGGGTATGTATTTAAAATATGCAACACATGATCTGCAAGAGATATTTGCACACCCAAATTTATTGCTGCATTATTAACACAAGCCAAAAGGCAGAAACAACCCAGATGTCCCTTGACCAATGAACAGATTAATAACAAGTGGCACATACACAAAGTGGAATATTATTCAGTCTTTAAAATTTCACATGATATGACAATTCTTGAGAGTATCATGTTAATTGAAATAAGCCAGGAACAAAGTGACAGTGTATGATTGCATTCATAATCAGGTACTGTAAGTAGACAAACACATAGGAACAAAAATTAGAATGGTCAAGGGCTGAAGGGTTGGTGAAATGGGCAATTGTGTTAAAAGGCATTTAATTTTAGTTTTGCAAGACATAGAAGTTCTGCAGATCTTTTGCATAACTATGTGAATGTACTTAACACTAATGAAATATACACTTCAAAATAAGAGGGTAAATTTTACATTATGTGTTTTTACCACAATTACGATTTTTAAAAGAAAAAAATACAGTTATAAAGCTTTCCAAAAATTAAATTTTGTTCACAAAAGATTTTCTCTCACACAAAGGAAGTATAGACTTATAATTAAATGCATGGTGAAATTAAGACTATTTCAATGACTACTCAACTACACAAGATAAGACAATCATTGAAAATCAGCCAAAAATACACAAGATAAGCCATAAGCAAAGTTGGAGACATATTCATAGAGACAAACACATATATAATTTAATTTGGAAAACATATGACCGATTTATATTTTAATTAAACCCAACATTAGTTTCCTGAGTGAAATTTGGTTTTCAATTTGGGTGAATGAAGACCTTTCTGGGGTTAAATGGATTCTTTGTTCTCTGTTGCTTGATATGGACCTGTGCTGGGGATTGATCAGCTGTTCAAGTGCAATGCACTCAGTTTTGGTTCTGTGCCAGGATTAAACCTGTGATATTTCACATTTCATATATAAACCCCGATGAAGTGTTTCTAGGAGATGGCTGCCCCATAAGCTATGTTTTGCTAAATGTTTACTATGAGTCTCACCATCATCCTCTTGAATGTGGTATTGTAACTAAAACTCTTCAGGAAATTCTACTTAAAACTAAAATCATGTATATTACAAGAAACTCTCCTGATTTCAAATGCCTCTGTCATGTGTTGTCTGCAATCAGCATCCTCTGTTAAAGAAAGTAGAAAGGAGAGATGAGGAAACCGACAGTGTTACTGAATGGGAGATAGAGGTGAGGATGCACATTGTGGATGAAAACATGAAAGTTATTTCTACAACTCAATCTTGTAAGTGTCTGACTGCTACGCTCCCTTGTGTATCAACTGATATACCTTTACTGCAAGAGAAGAAACTGCGCTGTTCACCTTGACATTGAGAGGCAATTTGGAATCTCTGTGGTGATTGCTTAGGACTGAGGATTTAATGTGCTATTTTGTGTAAAACTTAGAAGCAGAAATGGGATTTAACGATCTTAACTATTACCCATCTGAAAAACCTAACTTGCGATTTTAAATAAAATACCATGCTGCCTTCCACTAATCCCTTTTTAAAATAGGAGCTGCCCCTGCTTTTAACTTTATGAAGTTTAATCTATGAATAGATTGCATTATTAAAAAATTTTTTTAAATCCATATTGACTTGAAGTGTACGGGCAGAGTTGGAAACTATAACATCCAAAATTATAATACATAGGTAAAACCCAAAATAATATCAACTGCTGCCCTGGAACCTATTCTAAATAATTGAGATAATTAAGACAGTAATATGGAATTGTAAAGAAAAATAAGAAAAACATTTCCTCACAAAATCTTGTATGCAAACTTTTTTTTTTTTTTTTGAAACAGTTTCACTCTGTCACCCAGGCTGAGATGCAGTGGCACGATGTCGGCTCATTTCAACCTCTGCCTCCTGGGTTCAAGCCATTTTCCTACCTCAGCCTTCACTGAGATTACAGGTGCCTGCCACCACACTCGGCTACCTTGTATGCAAACTTGACGTATCATTTATAAAAATTTTTTTTTAGACAAGTACAATATTCTACTGTGACTTTGCATTCATAAATTTTGGGTGTCTTGAATCTTTGACATGTAGTGTATGACAGTAAAATTTTATAGAAAATACACAATAACCATTAATAAAAGGCTCTAATAAGAGAATTTTAATGCATAAGGATTGAAAAGACACCATAAATAATTTCCATTATATTTTTAATATGCTGATGCTATTCTTACACAAAATAAAAAGGCTGGGTAAGTTGTGGTCGCTCACACCTGTAATCCCAGCACTTTGGGAGGCTGAGGTAGCAGATTGCTTAAGCCCAAGAGTTCACTACAAACCTGGGCAGCATTCGGCGATCCTGTATCTATAAATAACAATAATAAAAAATAGCCAAGTGAGCTAATATACATTTATGGTCCCAGCTACCCAGGAGGCTGAGGCAGGAGAATTGCCTGAGTCTGAGTGGTCAAGCTACAGTGAGCTGTGATTATGCCATTGCATTCCAGCCTGGGTGACACAGTGAGACCCTGTTTAAAACAACAAAACTAAACTAACAATTAGTCAGGTGTAGTAGCATGCACCTGTACTCCCAGATACTTCAGAAGCTGAAGTTAGAGAATCATTTGAACCTGGAGTTTGAGTCTGCAAGGAGCCATAATTGAACTACTCAACTCTAGTCGGGGTGACAGAGCAAGGCCTTGTCATAGATAGATAGCTAGCTAGCCAGCTAGCTAGATAGATAGATAGATAAACTACAGCTAGAGAAAGAGTAAATTAAAAAAACAATGTAGTATGACGTAATTTTTAAAATAAACTTTATGTGTATCACTTAGAAATTTATAGAACGGGCTGGGCGCGGTGGCTCATGCCTGTAATCCCAGCACTCTGGGAGGCCGAGGTGGGCAGATCACGAGGTCAGGAGATCGAGATCATCCTGGATAACATGGCGAAAACCCGTCTCTACTAAAAATACAAAAAATTAGCCAGGCGTGGTGGTGGGAGCCTGTAGTCCCAGCTACTCGGGAGGCTGAGGCAGGAGAATGGCGTGAACCCGGGAGGCGGAGCTTGCAGTGAGCCGAGATCGCACCACTGCACTCCAGCCTGGGTGACAGAGCAAGACTCCATCTCAAAAAAAGAAAAAAAAAAAAGAAAAAGAAAAGAAAAGAAAAAAAAATAAGTATATGGAACATAGCCAGAACAATAAACAACAACCTCTTAATAGTTTTTCTCAACGGAAAAAAAAGTGAGTTTGAAGAGAAGGGAATAAAGGGGAGACTTTCAGTTTATTATGTTTTTATTTTTTGAGGCAGGATCTCACTTTGTTGCCCCAATGGAAGCACAGTGGCATGATTACAGCTCACTGCAAAGTTGGCCTCCCAGGCTCAAACACTCCCTAGTAGCTGGGAATACAGGTATACATCACCACAACTGGCTAATTTTCATATATTTTATAGATAGAGGATTTTACCACGTTGCCCAGACTGGTCTTGAGCTTCTGGGCTCAAAAATTACACCTGCCTTGGGCTCCCAAAGTGCTGGGATTGAGCCACTGAGTCAGCCAAGGATTTTTGTTTTGTTTTGTTTTTGAGATGGAGTCACATTCTGTTGCTCAGGCTAGAGTGCAGTGGCATGATCTCAGCTCACTGTAGCCTCTGCCTCCTGAGTTCAAGCGATTCTCCTGCCTCAGCCTCCTGGATAGCTGTGACTACAGGCATTCGCCACCATGCCCAGCTAATTTTTGTATTTTTTTTTAGTAGAGACGGGGTTTCACCATGTTGGCCAGGCTGGTCTCAAATTCCTGGTCTCACAATCCTCCCGTCTGCGCCTCACAAAGTGCTGGAATTACAGACATGAGCCACCGCTCCCAGCCACCAACCAAGACTTTTACTTTATAAAGATATTTATGATGTGTTCTTTTCTTTTTATAGTATGCATTTCATTTATAATTGCAGATACAAAAAAAAAAAGGCGATTGTTACTGTCTGGCATCAAGGCAGTAGTATTATCTTCATCAATATTTGCACTTCATGAGTAGAAACCTGTAAGGGAAAGCCCAGAAAAACTGTAAGGCAAATAAATTATGCTTGCAAAAAGTGAGAGGATTATCTTTTTATAATAACCAATATTCCAGGTGAGAGCTGGTCATGATCTACCACTGCTCCATCTCACTCGATAACTCTCACACCTGCCAGGGTAAGAAGGAACAGAGAGAAGGAAAAATGCCAGTGAGTTTTCTTTCCCACTAAGCACCTATTTGGCAAATTTCCTATCATGAAGTAGAAGATGGACTAAGAATAAAACCTGTGCCCTTGCAGATGCTAGTAGAGATGCACAAAATAGAAAAGGAGGTAAGCCCACACACTGTGAAGGCAGAGATCCAAGTGTTCACATTAAGAAAGTAGTATCAGAGTTCAAAATATGGGAAAGATATTTTGAATAATGTCAATGAGGCCAAGCACAACATGCCCAGCTTCATAATCAATCCCAGCAGCATTAGACTGAGGAGATCTACAGGTAACTATGCTTCTTCAACAAATTCCACTGCAGAGGAAGAGCGTGGAGTCTGACAACATGACACAGATGTCACCAGTGTACAGTGACTTAGGTAGTGGGAGTGGAATCCCTACATATTCTCTGAATTGCTGTTACACAGTGAGTTCCCAGGAAACAAATGGAATAGAAAAGGCAATACAAAAGATATAACTATAAATGGGGTGAGCATAGCAGGCTCACAATCACAAATCTAAGCAGGAGACTCAAATCACAAGGAGGACTGAGATCTGTGAACAGCAGCTGTGGTGGCATCAGGTTCAACATTCTGAGACCACCACTGTGGGCAGTGTCTTTGCAGGCACACTCAGCAGTAGTGTATCTGAACACAGATCCCAAGGCTCTTCATTAATTATTAAGATGACAGATGATGGACAACTTCATGTTACAACATCCCCACTAACGTTATGGACAAGTGAATTCAGAAACCCCCACCTAAATACACAGTAAAGAGTAGGATGAGAATACTGCAGGATAGGGTAGGAATGGGGGCACTTGACCCCATAGCGTCTATTTAAAATAAGAGAATGGCCCTAGTGTTGTGCTGTGGTCTTCCTATATATAATTCCTTATTTTTCCAATTTCATAAATGCCATACAGTTTTTCTTCCTTTCTTTACAAATGTGCTGATGAACCCATGTGTAATTAATCCTGAAGGGGTTAATTCTTCATAAAGTACAGTAACATAATTCAATTGCTATGATGAGGTTTTTCGGGTTTTTTTTAGAGTGTTCCATACTCATGAATCACAAATGAAAATTATAAGAACATATAATAAGAACAAGGTATTATTTTCACACAGAGTAATACCCAAGTTTGTACAGATTAGATGCATCACGAAAGCTGGTATCATCTGGGAATCAAAGGAACCGTCCTGAGGACATAAGGAACTTAGGGCTGTCGATTATTAAGAGGTTACCTGAAAGCAGAAGTTCTGGGTTTTCATCTAGACAGAAAAATTTAACGGATAAGCCCCAGCATATTAAGGAATATTTCTAACAGCTGTGGGTGATTAATTTCCATCCAAAGCAGTAAAACAAGATAGACTTCAAATGCTGCCCAAGTGCTCCGCACCTTGAAAGTCATTCCCACAAAGCTGGAGCACCACCTATTCCTGAGGGATCAGGTCACCAACTGTGTTTTGAGACACTTGTCAGTTAGGACTCAGTTGAGAGGAGGGTGGTGATTTCAAGTGTGAAATATCTAAACCATCATCTTTGGGTAGATTCTTACAGCTGGGAATTGTGGTTTTCTCCTCTGCTGTTAGCAAGTCCTGGGTAACCCAATAAATATCCTCTCTCACGCGTCAACTTCTATATCACAAGAAAGGTGCCGTAGAGCGTGACATTTTCACGAAGGAGCCACAGTCCGAATCACCTGCTGAAAGCTCTGAAGTTGTGCACGGGCGGGCCACCCAGCAGGTGGATGTCTCGGTTCCCATAGAGTTTAGCACAGCAGGCAGCTCCCTGGACTGGAAGAGGCGCGATGCTCTGGAAAGACCCCCGGATATGGATGGGAGAGGACACCGAGATGTACAGAGGGCTGTGCGGTGAGGACCAGACCCCTCCGATTTGAGTAAAGGAAGTGCACTTCGCAGCGTCACACCGTCCTCACCGCCCAGCCCAGACCTGCCCCTCAAGTCCTCCTCCAGACTCCCTTGGTCGAGAGCGTGACACAGAATCAGCGGCTGGCATCACTTAGGAAGGGTCGAAGTCCACACTGCCCTGTCCCTCCCTCCAAGGCTGTGCACCACCGGGGAGGACAGACAGCGCATGCTGAGATTGTAGCCCGCAGATTCGCGGCCAGTGGGCTGGAAACCGTTAAGAGACCATAAGTCCCAGCACGCCTGGCTAGGGACACGCCTGGCTAGGGACACGCCTCTCTATCGTTCCCTCTGATACTACACACCACCCCCAAACCCAGCGCGTCCGGGAGCCCCATGAGCAATGGGCTGGAAATAGTTAAAGGACTATGACTCCCAGGATGCCTTGCGAGGTACCCACAGTCTGGACCCTTCCTCTAGCACAGCCCACCGTCCCCAAACCGGGCACATGCTGGGATTGTAGCAGGAGGAGCGGCAGACAAAACTCCTCAGACACCGGATTAAAGAAGGAAGAGGTTTTTTATTCAGCCGGGAGCGTCGGCAGACTTGCATCTTAAGAGCCGAGCTCCCTGAAGAAGAAATACATGGCCTTTTTAAAGGCTTACAACTTTAAGAGATTCATGTAAAAGGGTCATGATAAATCAAGCAATCCTGGAAAACGTGATGGGGGAGCTACATGCATCAGCTAACAGAACAAAAAGTTTTACAGTGCTTTCTCATACAACGTCTGGAATTTACAGATAACACTAGTAGTTTTGGTCAGGGGTTAATATTATCATTATTATTTTAACCACCAGGTCCAGGAGGTGGTGCCAAGGTCATCTAGCTATTTATCTTACTTCTGTTTCTTTCCAACTTTTTGCTTTCTCCCTCTTCTCTTGTCTTATAAACTAGGGAAAAGGCAACACAGGAAAAAGCTGGGAAAGACAGCAGGAGAAGTGGTGGTCTCATTCTATATTTCCCCCCTTTGAGAATTTTCACTTTTTTAGTGGGAGTTCTCACTCTCATCTTCACTTTCTGAGTCTCTCTGTGAGATAGAGCGATAGTGATTCATATAATACGCATGTGCTGAAGTTTTCTGATGAACCAAAGTAGCAACAAAACTTTTTATCATTTGGAAAAGCAAGAGTAATACACAGGGGAGCATCAAGCAAGTTCCTATTACTAGCAATACACCTGCAATGAGGGTTTTAAATCCTCCTATAGCTGGAAACCATTTTCCAAATAAAGACCTAGGATCAAAGTCATGCCAAACCTGTACAGGCACATGTGCCAACTTTGTCATGTCCCTGACTATGTTTTCAACCACCTGTCCTTCAGCATCTATTTGTAGGCAGCTATTGGTTAAGTCAGATTTTCTACAGACTCCTCCTTTAGCTGCAAGTAGTCCAAGGCCAGTCTATTCTGATAGATAGCATTTCTCATTTGGGTTTCCTGCCGAGCTAAAACAGTCAAAGCTCTGCCAGTTTCATTAGTAATTATTTCTAAGATGGCCTGCAACTGTATGATCCGATTGAGCATGTAAATGGGGGTTCAGTATCCCCATGAGCTGTCTTGTGCCCATGTGGCAGGCCCATAATACTGTATGATCCCTTCAGGAGGCCACTCATTATCTTTCCAGTTTCCTATAACTATGCCACTCTTTTCTTGGGAGGCATAGACAGGGAAACCTAGGAGCTCACCCATTTTTACAGGTAATAAGAAAAAGGACGGTTTAATAGTGCCAATAACACAACTACCTGTCCATTTATTAGGTAACCGAATGTAGGCTCTGCGCCCACATATCCAGTATAGTCCAGCAGGAGCCGTCCAGTCCTGATAAGATTCTGGATGAGCCCAGGCAGTTTTTAATTTAGAAAATTTACTAAATGAGTTCTTTTCAGTGTGATTTAGGCCCCACCAAGTAATTGCTTTTGTTGCGCTGTTGTACAACTTATGTCCTATACAATTAAGCTTTCCTACAGGGATGATGAAGTCTTTTCCTTCTCTAGCTATACAGTATTGTCCAATAATTGAGGTTTTTAGGACCCAGAAGTTGCTAGCTTGGGCCTTCTGAACTGGAATTATATCAGGAGCTGGATCAGTGGGCAGCAACTCTCAGGCTTCCCAAGGCCATCGGTCTCCGATAGTGGTTCCCCCGTATACATAACAAGAAGTAACATTAAGGGAATGAGCTACATTTTCTGCTAATTGGAGAAACAATTTTTTTGTCTTTTTCGGAAGTTCTGGTGCTGGCAGATTCAGCTCCTCATAAAAGGTTTGAAACACTGGTTTGGGAGAGCGCCTGTAGACCTCCCCTCAGACTAAAATGGCAACGTGGGGGTTTAACCTTGTCCCATCGATCCCCAGGGTTACACGTTCTCCCTTTTTCCAATGGGGGTCTAGGGGATTGGTGGTTATTAGTTCCAGTGGGTTACAGTGACCAGCAGCACAGGAGGGGTTGGCTTCCCCCTTCTCAAGATGAACCGGGTCCTTTTTGATCTTTTCCCAAGTAACCCAAATAATACATGGCCAAAAGGCACAATTTTCACAAACCCCTGACTCATGACAAACATACTTATTTTCTACTCTGTAGCTCCTTTTCCAGTTAAGAGAACCACATCCTCTTCCTAGCTTGTTACTATTAATGGCTGCACAAGCATCAAATCTTAAAGTTACTTGTTTGAGGATTTCTTTTTCTTCTGTTCTAGTTATTATTTTACTTGTATCACCTAGGAAAAGGCCAGTTCTTAATCTTATTTCAAAAACGGTGGTTGCAGGGGACTCAGATGGGTTAAAACACACATCAGGTTGGTCATTTCCCAGGCTACATACCTTTTACTGAGTGACATTATACAAACAAGTTTCTTTCAATGTTCCCATACGTTCATAATAACTACAGAACAGAAAGATTTTTTTAATTTGCTGTCCTACCTCAGTGACCTGATAAATACACTGGGAACAGTCATCAGTTTGAGTAAGGTCAATTGAAGTCCTTACTGTATAAGTCCAAAATTTAAGAAAAATGAATCCCACAATGAGATTCCTCATGCTTCGGCCATGCGTGGACCAGTCAGCTTCTGGGTATGACTGGAGCAGGGCTTGTTGTCTTCTTCAGGGTCACTCTGCAAGAGTTGTCCGGGCTTGGTCTTGCCCCCCAGGTTTCAGGCGCTGCAGGTTTTACACAGCTGTGGTGGATCCAGGCTGGGATTCCCTCTACCCTCACAGCGGTGGGAGTGGTCAAGATAACAGTCTGGGGTCCTTTCCACCGTGGGCACAAAGAGGCTACGTTCCAGTCCTTGATCCACGCTTGATCATTTGGGGAGAAAGGGTGAACTGGGGAGAATAAGCTAACAGGGCATCTCTCATTTACCCACGCTGAGATTATTTGTGTAATTTTCCCTAAAGCCTGTAACTGTCACTGTAACTCAATTTCACCTAACTCTCAGGGAGTGCCTGGAAGTCCCCACAATATGGAAGGGGTCTATGGTATAATATTTCATAAGGGGAATATCCTGTTCTTTTAGAAGGGGTACACCTAATTTTAAATAATACCATAGGGAGAGCCTGTATCCAGTTTAATCCTGTTTCCTGACATAGTTTCCCTAAACTATTTTTGATAGCCTGATTCATCCGCTCCACCTTTCCAGAACTCTGAGGCCCATAGGCAGCATGCAATTTCCATGTGATCCCCGACACCTTTGCTGTCTTCTGTACCAAGTCAGCCACAAACGCCGGCCCATTATCTGAGCCGATCCCTAAGGGCAGTCCAAATCTAGGAATAAGATCTCAAAGAAGCACACGGGTTACTTCACGAGCTTTCTCAGTTCGTGTTGGATAAGCCTCAACCCACCCAGAGTAGGTACACAGAAGAACTAGTAAATACTTGCTACCTCCACACTTTGGCATCTCTGTGAAGTCCACCTGGAGGTCTTCAAAGGGGGCTGTTCCATAAGCTTGTATGCCGGGCGGAAGGGCTGGACCTTGTCTCGCATTATGCTGTCGGCAGGTAACACACTGCTGCGTCACCGTTTTGGCAAGGGCTGACAAATGAGAGATGTAGAAATACAGACCTAACAACTTTTCAAGTGACTCCTGACCTAGATGGGTGGTTTCATGCACAGCCAGTACAACTGCAGCTCCTACCAGCTGTGGCACAGCTACTCTCCCATCTGGTAACCGAATCCATCCTTCCTCCATCACTTGTCCTCCCTCTGCCTGGAGAAAGTCCTTTTCTTCTTTAGAATAAGTAGGTACAAGATCAGGTGCTTGAGGGAGAAGGAGGGCTGTGACCGATACCTGGAAGGGGGCAGATGCTGCTTTTCGAGCCTCTGAGTCAGCGCGGGAATTCCCCAAACCCACCAAGGTGGAAGCTCGCTGGTGTCCTCTGCAATGCATAACTGCTGCCTTGTGGGGTTTTCATACTGCTTCTAATAATTGCAAGATTTCTTGTTGATATTTTATGTCCTTTCCCCCAGAGTTCAATAGGCCCTTTTCTTTATATAATGCTCCATGCACTTGAAGGGTTAAAAAGGCATATCGAGAATCAGTGTAAATGTTTACAGTCTTACCTTCACTGAGTTCTAAGGCCCGAATTAAAGCAATGAGTTCAGCTTACTTGGCTGAAGTGCCCTGGGGCAACGATCTGGCTTCAACAACAGTGTCCAGGTTTACCACTGCATACCCTGCACATCTGTCTCCTTGTGGGTTGATGAAGCTGCTCCCATCCATGTATAGTTCCCAGTCTACTGATGCCCAAGGCTGGTCTCAGAGGTCAGGTCTGCTAGAGTAAACTGAGTCCAACACTTCTACACAGTCATGCTTGACAGGGCTCTCTGATACTGGGAGCAAGGTGGCGGGATTCAGGGTATTACAAACCTCAATTGTTATGCGGGGATTCTCACAGAGCAAACTTTGGTACTTGGTGAGTCTAGCATTCGTTAACCAATGATGTCCTTTAGTATTCATTAAAGTCACCACAGCATGGGGGGCCTTTATGTTCAGGTTTTGCCCAAGAGTCAGCTTATCTGCTCCTTGTACTAGCAGAGCAGTTGCTGCCAAGGCCCTCAAACGCGGGGGCCATCCTTCAGGAACCCTGTCTAGTTGTTTAGAGAGGTAGGCCACCGGCCTCGGCCAGGGCCCCACAGTTTGGGTTAAAACTCCAACTGTCATCTTTTCTCTCTCTGACACATACAATGTAAAAGGCTTTGTCAGATCGGGTAGCCCCAAGGCTGGGGCTGACAGAAGTTTTTCCTTTAACTCATGAAAAGTTTG